TTTAAATGACTGGTTTTTCTTGGAGTGTGTGATTCCCATGTCTGGAGTGAATTCCCTTCTGTTCAGCCTTAAGAGCCTGTTCAGTCTGCGGCAGGTTTGTGAAGAGGCTTTGAAACAGAGCTGCGCAGCAGCACCGACCGACCAGTATACCCCAGTCAAACCGGGAGGGAACTCTGGAGGTGTTAAGATCTAAGTGTTAGCGCAGCTGGTGCAGATCTTTTTCAGGTTGCTGCTGTTCACTTGGCAAGTATTTGCCCAAATCTCCCTTCACTCGGAGCGCTGGGGGGAAGATGAGCGAGACCCGTTCCGGGGGTGGGCTTCTGTCGGGTGCTCATGCGGGATGGCCTGAGCACTGGGGGTAGTGCCGCTGCGAGCTCTGGTTCCTGCGCTGTGCGAGACACAGACCTTCCGTGGTGTTACTGACCGCTGGCCGTTAGGCTTACGGAGGGGTCACAGGGGAAGGTGTAAGTCTTTCTGCTTTCTGATGTCCGTCTTCTCTCTTCTGAATTGTAGGAGAGCTCATACCTTAACAGTGTTGTTCATCCTCACGTGTGCGCTGGGCTACGTGACCTTGCTTGAAGAAACACCACAGGATACAGCCTACAACACCAAGAGGTAAATACCCGAGAAGGGGTTTCTGTAGGTGCGTTAGAAACGGGTGGCGGTGTGAACAAGTTACCTTGGGGGTAAGCTGCCTCAGATGACCTCTGCATTGACTCCTTTAAAGGCCCGAACCCTTAGAAAGTGACAAAACCGAGCATAAGTCTCTAAGCTCCTTTGATGCTGGTTGTTGAATTTAATTTCTAATCAGTTTAGTGTCGCTCACTGTCACACCCGGCAGCTGCCGTGCATATGTGATTTAAGACAAAATATGAAACTCTTTCTAAAGCCTCAAAGCGCTGGCTGTGGTTCTCTGGCAATGATTCTGCCTCTTTTTCTTAAAATAACCTAACTTTCTAAATTATGTGAGCTGTGACTAAATTTTTCTGACTTAACGGCTTTTTCTAAAGTTATGTGCAAGGTTCCAATACAGATCATTATTTCATCTTGAAAATTAACATGAGAACTTGTAGCCCAAAGGGAAAGTCTTGGAACACAGGAATGAGTCTCGCGTGTGTGGCCCGTTTCTGCCATAATTTAAACTGATTAAATGTAGTTGAATTTCTCCTGTTTTTAAAGAAATATAGTAGGGAAGAAAAGTGATCTTTTAAAAATCTAAGTATATTTTGAAAATTGAGGGGGTGCTTACAGACTGGAGAGCACCCTTGCCATAAGCATGAAAGTCGTTCTGTTTTCTACCAGTCCGGTTTCTTAAGTGCAACACTTACACAGTGCTATTGTTTTCCCCTTGCTATTACAGGGTTTCTTCCTATTTTTACTTTTTTTTTTTTTTTTAAAGTGACTCAGGATGTAGTATTCATTGCCATGGAGATGCAGGAATTGGGGTATTTCCTGAGATAACCTGGGTTGTTGCTCTGTCAGTTCCACAGCAGATGTAGCTGATGCAGCTCACGCTCACGCCTGTCCCAGCTGAGGGTTTGTGTTTTTACGTGGGGGTGAAACGGAACAAGCTGGAACACGGAGCCCTGTCTGGAGCTGGGAAGGTTTCTGCAGGGCTTTGGTGTGAACAAATGCCACTTTATTCCCAGTTATAATGAGTGAGTCTAGGGAACGGATGGATGCGTGACGCTCTCTGGAATGGCAGTTGAGAGCAAAGAAGGGGAAAAGCTGAGGGAGGAGTGATGACACATCATTGGGGAGTAACACAGATCTAAGGTGACTCAGTGGAATATCTTCTTATTGAGATTAGAGCCTTTACTGCTTTAATAAAAACAACCCCAGAGAAGATTAATCAGCAGATTAGCCTTTCTTTCATGAAACAGAAGTCTCTCTCTGCATATTCAGTGCAGGGAATAATGTGCCCAGTTGTTAAAATCAATTTAACAGCATCATCCCAGGCAATGAGTAGTGAATGTTCTTTCATCACTTCTGCATCTCTGCTCGTGGAGTGCTGCCTGCAACGTCTGGATGCAAAAATACTTGAGAACAGCCCCCTGAGAATTGTATATGGTCTTCCAGACCCTGGTGTGTGTTACTGGTTGGGAAGGATACAGCTCCCTTTCCGCCCGTGCTGCACCCTTAGCGCTGTTGCCGTAGCCGTTCCGGCTGCGTGCCGAGTTCTGAGGCGGCAGTCAGCTCGGCTGGGCTGTTCCTTTCTCCAAGCTAAGGATCGATGCAGACTGCACGCCCGAGTCCTGCGGGCCTTTCCTCCCCTTCACCCCTGTTGCCTTGGCCCTGGTTTACGGAACGGGTGGAGGTGTCCGTGTTGGTCAGCACACTCCTTGCGCTGAGTCAATTTTCAGTGAGCTCCTGCCTGGTCTCCATTAACTCTCTTCTCTGAGGTCCTGGAGGTAAGGGCTATGCCAAGTTTAGCCCCGTTCCAGCTCCGTTCCTGTCCCAGCCATTGTTCTTACCTTCTTTAGCATCTCTGTGCCTGCTGCTCTCTTATATCTCATGGGTCCTGACCGATTTTATGTGGCTCTTTAAGTGTATATTTGAACAAAAAGAGGCATTTCAGAGCAGGAGTAAGATGGTCACGACATGCACCCGTATATCCTTATCCCCAGTTTCAACAGATCTTTTATTTTTGCTTCCGTAACTTAAAACACCTTATCCTGCCCCGAGATCTTCTTCAGGCTTAGTGTAGAGCTGTTGTGTGTTTTGATGTGACATTTTGGCCTGCATGAGGCTGTGGCTGTGTGCGGATCTTTCATGGGAACGCTTGCCTGCCTAACGAACAGAAGCAGTTTTATTACCGATGAGCAGTGTCTCTAGCTGTCATGCTTTTTTATTTCCAACTACTGCACAACGACAGTGGAGCAGTGTTTCGGTGCGTAGGTGCAAAGTGTAAATACGCGCCTGCAGACACTTCAACCTCCTTTGTGTTCAGGCTCCTGCTGAGAGGTGCCAGAGTGCCTGTGAACTGCGTTAGGTGCTTAGAGCAAACATTAAATTGAAGCAAAGTCTATGAATTGCTGTGCTGGCTGCCCTCGCTGTGTTTCCTGGGCTAGCTAAAGCAACAGAAGTCATCTGAGGCTCCCGTCTCCTCCCGGTGAAGGTGCTTCACCCAGTCCGGCAGCAGCCGAGGGCAGGGCGAGCGGCAGGATTTGTGCAGAAGGGCGTCAGGAGAAATGACGGGCAAGAGCTGAATTAGAGCATGGACCTCTGAGATCACGGGTGTGGTATCTCTAGCCAAGACTGGTGTTTGCATCTGTTTATATGCCGACTTGAGTGCCATTTTCCTTCCTGCCACGTGCTAGGGCAATTAAAGGAGGAATTTTTTTTTTTGGGGGGGTAAGATTTATAGAAATGTTTTGTGTGTAAATCTAGTCAAAGTTCATTAGGATCATACACACAGATGTTGCTGTGATCGTGTGATATACGCGAACAGATTGCCTCTGTTGTAAAGGCGGCTGGGAATTCACTCCTTTAGCCAAAGAGATGTTGTGCTGCAAAGCCTGTCTGATCGATGAGACTTTTTATTGACGCGGTTCCTGCAGCGTTCAAACCAGCCTGAAATAGTCCGGCCCGCCTGACAACTGCCAACTTCTCCTCTTCCGTTAAGCGCCCGGGAGGAGCTGACAGACTGAGCTCCAGCTCGGAGGATAAATATTCAGTGACCTCCTTTGCATACAATGGCTGAGGAAGAAAGCCGCACCTCCCAGATACTTTGAACGCTAAGCAGGGGTTCTTGGGGAGGAAGAAGTTAGTGTGTTTCCCATGTGAAGAACACACTCGGGTTTAAAAAATCCTGTATGCATCAGGGTTGTACACTGAATTTCCAGCCATGAAGCAGTCTCTCTACGATGCTGTTCTACACTAGTTTTTGCCTATAACTGATCGCTGCTCGGCCATGGTAACAAATCTGGGGGGGGTGTGTTTGCAAGTCGGTGATCTCCAGCTCCTGTCGCTGAACGCCCCCAGAGAAGGCAAGGAACGAGGAGGCCAGACCTCCATCTGCCAGGCTACCAGTTCTTCAGCCTGCGGTACCGCTGAGGGGGTCGTACCAGCCGTGCTGCTGCAGATGCAGCCGGGGAAGGGACAGGGAGCGGGAGCTGCCTCGTTAAGCTTGGAACAAAGGGCGATACACAGATACTCATAGACAGGCTTCATTGTCTTGTGGCTCTGAATCGACTCTTAAAATAACACAGGCAATGGCTTGTTTGTGCTGACGAAACTGTTGCCATGTTCTCCCTTTCTTGGTTGGTTAAGTGCTAAAATGATTTTTGTAGGCGTACTTTACTACTTAGTGTCTTCCTGATCTGCTGCTCAAGCAAATACCTGAGCCGTGTCCGTCCAGGCTGCCTGCGGGGGTAGTTGGAAGAAACCCCCTCTCAAATCCTAGAGAAGTTCTTACCTCAAGCCGTGGTAAGGCAGCAGGCCAAGCCCTGGTTAGGCTTTGAAAGCTTCGTAAGGAGGGGTTTGAGATGGTCTGTCATGAAACCATCCTTAAAATACAGGAATTTATACCTGTTGCCCAGAAATACAGTCTCCAAAAGGCACCTGTTTATGATGGACGTGTTTAGTGAGTTAAGAAACAAAGACCAGACGTTTTTTTACAGCTAAGAATATAATTCACACTTTCATTAGGAAGTTGAAGCAATATAAACAGTTTGCTCTGTTTTTCACTTTCAGAGGTATTGTTGCCAGTATTTTGGTTTTCTTATGTTTTGGAGTTACACAAGCTAAAGATGGACCATTTTCAAGACCTCATCCAGGTAATTTACGTTGCTTAAGTCACTCGGCTATTTTTGACAAATTGCATGGTTTATGGTGAACGTAAATATTTGTGTTTCTTGTAGTGAAGGTAAGTAGTAATTGAAATGATAATACAGGTTCATTAACACTGCCCTCTTATCACGTAGCTTCCCAGCCTCCAAACAGCATAGTGATCCTTCGGTGCTTTCAGTCTGCATGTAGCATAGGATTTTTTTTTTGTTATTTTCTTTTTCTCTCCCTGTTTTGGCTTCCTGTTGTTAGTAAAAGCTTTGTGTGAACTGCCAGATTCTTGAACCCTCAGCTTCCCTTGTTTATCCCTTTTTTTCCCCTCCTTTCTGTAATGGGACTGCACTTGTGACCACATCGCCGGTTGCTGGAGCGCTGCGCTCCCGTTGCTCTGTGTCCGTTACCCACAGTAACTGGTAGATTAGAAGCTCTTGGTTATGATTTTAAAGATTTCTAGTAAGACTGTAAGTCTTGAAAGCGCAACACAAAGCCTCTTCCATGTAGTGTTGTATCAGGTGAAGTATGAAAATTTTAGTATCTTTGATATTTTGCCTATTTTTAAATGTGAATCATTGAGAAATAATTAAGGGGATTTATACAGGCCTACATAATATTCCTGAAAGCATTAGGCTCTCCTACAGTCAAATAAAGCTGTAAGTATTTCTTATGCCAAAAATTTACCCTTCCAGTTTAGGAATGCTGTTCTATGAGAACCAGCAGACAGGTTAAAAACTTCGATCAAAGCAGACGTCATTCTAGAGCAGTGCCCACAGCACACCTCTGCAAACTTCAGGTTTTGTTCAGAAGTTTGTTTCTGAGGTCTTAGGAAATAGCAGTTTTTAGTCTTTCTGTTAGGTTGATTCCGGTTCCTTCTGTAAGACAAATTACTCCTTTTAAGGACACTGGTGATATTTGGGTGCTTTCTGTTTCAGAACACCCAGTGGTTTCTTCTGGCATGGAAGTAATTCCTATTCCCTAGAACAAAGTAGTACAAATTGGATGGGGAAAGCCCAGAGGTCAGAGATCTCTACAGCAAACTCCCAGCGTAGGCTGAGCCAACGTCTACCACCGCTGTGTGCTCCTGTCTTGCAAACAGCAGTTACTGGGCTGAAGCTCAGGATCTTTCAGCAGAACCAAACTGCCTGTGAACAGGGTGGTTGAAGAAGCTCCCGTGTAGTCAATCGCTTCAAATACTGGGCGCATTCGTGTCGTCTTTTGTCTTCACTTCACCGTTCCTCTCGCTTGTTTGGAGGGACGATCTTCTGCAGGGTGGTTGTCGGGGGCTATAGCGGCTCGCAGGGGTCACGGGCACTTGCACAGTCACAGCAAGACGCCTGGGTGCCTGTCTGAAGAGGAATCGCGGTCTTTCCCCACGGCTCTCCTGCGGGAAGGCTCTTGCAGGCAGCGGAGGGCATGGCGGCCCCGTGAGGCTCGGCGCCAGCTCTCCGCTTCGGGAGGGGTGTGCGGAGGTGCCCGTCAGGCAGTCGAGTCCCTGACCTCAGCTTCGAGGTGCTGTTCTGGGAGGAAGATCTCATCTCAAAGGCACTGGCGGCGCCGGCTGCTGGTGGGTGCTGCTTCCCTTTGTAGGGCAGCAGGGAGCCTTCGGGTCGGGCAGGTCCCTGCGGTCACGTACCGCCGCGTCGGGTCTGTCAGGGAGCTCGTCAGGCTGTGCCTTGCACGGAGCTGGGTTTCATGCCCTGCTTCTGTCGGGAGGTTTTTGGAGCCCTGTTACTCAGTCTGCCTGTACCTATTTACGACCAGCTCAGGCACGGTTTGTATTTTTGTCTGGGTTTTGTGCCTAACGTGGTGTTCTGTTTAAGCAGCTCTTCTTACTCGGTGTCGCTCCACCTGATTTATTGATACGCAGCTCAAACATGCCAACTCACCGTTGGTTTTGCTAAAGCAACGAGTTTTGGTTTTATTCTCCCTGCTCCATATAAGCCTGCTTTCCTTTGGGTTTTTTTCCTTTACTTGTTTAGCCGTTCAGGTGGCATAGGTCAAACACAAACCTCTGGTGATGGGTAGGGGTAAGTGGCTGGTTGTGTGCTCAGCCAGGCAGCGCGCGCTCGGTAAGCGTTGGTCTTGTGTTCTCGACTCTCCCTACAATGGCAACAGTTCGGTGTTTGAGCATAGGAATCGCTGAACTGTCAGCTTTGTAAATGATCAGCTGGAGCCTACTTCATCAGGAAGGTAGTTCTAATTGGAGGGAGGTTCATGGTGAAAAGTGCATTTAAGGAAAACAAATATTAGAGGTATGCCAAAAATAACTTTACAGCTAAAGCTGAGGCCAGTCCAGCAAGAGGGAGAACATGATGTTTGTGCAGCTTTGAAAACATCTTGTTTCTGGTGTACACGTACAGGTATCAAGTAGCCTTCAAAACCTCTTGGGTACTTAGGTCAGCCGCAGAGAAAGCACACTGAATTATAACCAGATCTTGTGTTTCTGTTACGAAGTATTGCTGGGCGCATTCAGCAGCTGCAGACCGTCTGCTGCCAGAACCCTGCGTATATCGGAGAAGAAAGGCTCAGATAAGGGTTTAGGTTTTTCTGCTTTCCGAACTGTGTGTACATCAGTTTCAGAACTAGTCTGCCACATTTATGTCCGTGAGTACTGTAAAACCTGTCGTACAAGGGTGTATAGGTCAGAAAAATCCTCTGCCTTTTTAAGGCTCCTGGTCTGAAGGTGATGTTTGAAGGAAACACCGCTCAGTTCTTCTGGGAGAAGTGTCTTTATGAAAGGTTCATTCTGAGTTCTGCCTTGAACATGGTGTTTACTCTTCGAGGTACGCAGTCGTCGTAGGAAAGGATAGAAACCACCTTATCAAGCACAAACTGATTTTTGTAGTTACTTAGTCACCGCTGCGTTTCTGTCCTGCAGACTCGCGTGCAAAAGGCTGAAGTGTTCTTCAGCAGCACAGTGGTGCAGGTTTTGTTCCTGTCTCCCGGATGGTCCTTCAGCCCGTGGAGGGGTTTTTGCTTGTTTGTTTTTCCTGAGCTGCGTTCGGAAGGGTGAGAGGGCGCACGCACACGCTCGGACGGTCCTTCCAAGTGAAACTTGCCGGTGGATTTGAAAGTTAATCCAATCTGAAGGAAGGGCAGAAGTCGCAATTCGCTCTTTTTACAGCTTTTGGTGAGGACAGCTGCACCGGGGGCGCTGGTTACTGCCTCACCACGGAGAAGAGAAGGTAGGCTGAGCTCTGCTTTGCCTTCCCTCGAGGAGACCAGGGGCAAAACCGCCTCATAACTTGCCTTAGAGTTTTGTTTGGGTTTTTTAATGACTGACCCCTAAGAAGACACTTCATCATATTTCATAATGAAGAAATGACAATTATGTTTGTAGACTTCAAGTAAAAATCTTTAAAGTTCCAAATTTCCAGTGAAGGCTGTTGCCAGCTCTGAACTTCTCTTCTCCAGGCCACACCTGCCTTTTTTATTTTTCCTTTTTTCATGTTGTTTTTGGTTTTGTTTTTCCCCTGGAAGTGTAAAGTAGGCCGTTTTGATGAAATTAATTCAGCAGTTTTGCTGAAAAAAGGTCACATCTTCTCACATTCCAATCTATTTTAATGATGGTGTTGGAAGCAGGATGTCAGAGACTTTTAAAAATGTGGATTTTGGGGGGGCGCTACTTGAGGCTGAATTGGGCAAAGACAACATTTCTTTTTGTTTCAGGGGGCAAACAAGCCTCTGTGAAGCTCTGCAGCACCACGGCGATTTGCTTTGGGTTCTGAGCTGGTGAACAAGTATGTTTGCAAGCCTGGCGTTCGTGTTTAGTTCTTGCATTGTTTATGCCATGGTTATATATATATATATGTAACCTATACCCTGGAGTTAATTGAATTCAGGATTGAAAGTTCTTGTTTTTTTTCACTTCATGGCAAACCATGTTCATGCAGGTGGAGCAGCTCGCTGTCACCACTCAGCCATGTGAGTGACTGCCCTGATTCCTCTTCACCCCAGTCTGATTCTAACTATCAGCCAGTGTAGCCGTGGAAGCAGAGCTCTGTGTCAGAAGTGTCAACAGGAAACACCTGAAGGAAAGTCTATTAAAATCGTTCCAGAGTGATTAGTGTGTGACATCGCTGTGAGATTTAAATACACGCTTGGAATGAGTCAAGTTTTGCTCAACTGTCTTGCATAGTGGTTAGGAAAAAACACTGGAGCGCCCTGTCCGTACACGTACGGGCTTCTTCCTCTCGTAGGGAGTTAACAAAAATGCTGGATGAGATTTCAGAGCCTGGGGGTCGCTTTATGGAAGGGAGACCAAACCAGTCTCGGCGTGGAGTCGGATGAATTAGGGGCCTGAATGGGGCCCCTGGACCACAGGGCTTGTACCCGGGACAGTCAGACAGCCTGTCCCTTGAGGATGAGTCTTTCAGAAGAACTGAGGTGACAACGATGGATCTGGAAACGTACAAACGCTTTAATTTGTGTACCCTTTAGATTCAGGTGTTGCTTCAGTGTGAGGAGGGCTGCGATCGCACATCTTGGGAGGGTGAGAACAACTGCAGGCTCTGCAGCAGCTGGGTTTTGCGTGATACTTCTCTTGTTATGAAGAGTTTCAGATGATCTCGTAGGTCTTGCATCTAGCACCTGCTAAACCTTTGGTAGTTCTTTTTATTTAATTCCTAGTAAGAGTTGAAAATATCTTTGGTATTTTGAAATGCTTTCTGCCCCTTGAGGAAACAGCCGTGTCTTCAGGGAAGGAGACGGGCTTACCAAAGTAAAGGCGGTGGTTCCTCCTGCCGGTCGTGGGCTTGTCGTTTCAGCAGTAGCTAGGCAGAAGCTGGCAAAGCGGGTTAGCTGTGATGGGGCTGGGAAAACCAAAGTTGGACACGTCAGGTTACGTGAGACCGCAGAGAAAGGAGTTAGATGCGTTCAGGAAGGATGTCGTTCTCCTCCACGGACTGCTAGAAAGCATTGCAAGTGGCACATATCCTTCCTTCGAACTCTTCAAGATTTAGTTCATCGGGTTGAAGCGCCGTGGTGGATCCTGGGCTGTTCTCGCAGATCCTGCGCAATTCCGGCAAAGTTGCGTAGCGGCCTGTGGGGTGGCTATGGCCTCTCTGGCTGTACCCTGCAGGAAGGGTGGTGGGCACTTCCCTTGAGCGCTGGGCTTCGTCGTTCCTTGGTGGGTGCATCTCTTCTTGCAATGTTTAGTGACCTTACGGTAAATGAATAATTGACTGCTGGTTTGCTTCAGAACGTGCTAACGTCCTGCCTCTCTGTTTCTGTAGCCTACTGGAGG